TAGTTGCGCACGGGCTGAGCCGAGGCTTGAGTGGTGCTTTGGGGGCCGGGGAAAGACCTCAGCGAGCGAATAACCGACGGAGCAGCCGGGATTTCACCTTGTCCTATTTCATTCGTGAATTTGGGGGGCAGGCCAGGGATGGGAGCTGCCGGGACCGCGGTGCTTTGCTGCTCGCAAGGTTTTTCCCCGTTAAAAACCAGCTGCCACCCTCCTACTGCTCTGCTCCAGGAGCACAAACCTTCAGGAGAACTTCTGGCCCTGCCATGCAGGTGCTCCACTTGCCACCTTTATTGCCTGTGGGCTTTAGCGCCTTTTTCACCCGTTATTCCTATAAATAAGGCCACACGTTCCAGTAGGTCGTAGGTGCTGCAAGAGTTGGGCCTTTTACTGGCTTGGTCCCAAAAGAGGGATGTGCAGGAGAGCGCCTGGTGGCCCGTGGGGACGTTGTACTTCAGGCTGGAGGTCGGGAGCTGTTTATTTTGACAGGGCACGTCCGTGGCCCTGCTGTTGGTTCAGTGGGTGACCCGAAAGCGCTGAGCAGAGCCGGGCTGAGCTCCTCACTCTGCTGTGAGACCCTGCGAGAGGTTGGGCCAGCAAAGCTGGTGGCTTTTGTCTGTGACAGCGCGTTGCATATGGAAATGTAGTAGTAAAAGGGGTCTACGGTGTTGTTGAACCCACCTTTGGCCGCCCTGAACCCACCTTTGGCCGCCCTGAACCCACCTTTGGCCGCCCGGAACCCACCTTTGGAGTACCTTTGGCCACCCTGAACCCACCTTTGGCCGCCCTGAACCCACCTTTGGCTGCCCTGAACCTATCGGCCCTTCCTTCCTAGGCTCCCTGGGAGACATCTCCAAATCATTCCTCGATCTCACTGACCCGGATGAGATCAACAGCTACTTGGCCTTCAACGTCACCTCGGCGCTTTGCCTCACCTCCACCGCCCTGCGAGCCTTCGGGAAGCGGCCCGGCTCGAGCAGGACGGTGGTGAACATCTCCTCGCTCTGTGCCCTGAAGCCCTTCAAGAACTGGGCGCTGTACTGCAGCGGGAAGGCTGCCCGGGACATGATGTTCCAGGTGCTGGCGCTCGAGGAGCCTGATGTCCGTGTGCTCAACTACGCCCCGGGTGAGGAGGGGAGCTCATTAATTGCTGTTAATTTTCTCCTACTGAAGCTGAGAAAACTCACTCACCACTCGGTGTTATCCAGCAGGGATTCCTTATTGCGGTGCCGGGCAGCCCGGGGGATGGCTCCTTCCATCCCTGCGCGCCCAAGTGTTCGGATTCTGGCCTTATATTTACAGCTTTCATC